TTATTAGAATGCGAAGTGATGCGAGAGGCCGATCCATTTAGCGTCAAAGAGGACGACGCTTGGGTCGTTAATGAGGCAATTATAAGACTTTTTGTGGCAGATGGCCGCGAAAGGAGAAAAATGAACAAAGTGGAATATGGCGTTACAAATAATCATACAAGTAGCGGGAACAATGGTGATTTCAAGAACACTGACAATTTAGGTAGGTTGTCAGATAAAGGAAAAATAGCGAGAATCGATAAAATAATGCAGCTTATTGATGTTTCAAGTTGCAACGAGGAAGAAAAATAACACGTCCGGAAACTCATAGAGTATAATCCGTTTGTATTTGGCCTAGATAAAAAACCACTGAAAGCAATTCATATATTAAAACACCGCATCATAACTACGACGGACAAGCCCGTGACAGCGAAGTGCTGTAGGTACCCACTAGCGCTAAGAGAACAGATAAAAAAGAGATAGAGAAATTGCTCGAGCAAGGAATCGTCGAGCTTTCGAAATCGCCGTACAATTCTAACACGTGGATTGTGCCTAAGCGTGCGGGGCCGGACGGGGAGAAGCACTGGCGCGTGGTAACTAATTTTAGGCAGCTCAATGAAATTACTGTAGGAAGTTGCCATCCCTTACCATTACAAAATGATATACTCGAGCATTTAGCGTCAGCTCGATACATTACAGTAGTCGATCTAAAACAGGGATTTTTCCAAATATAAATTCAGGAGGATGACGTGCACAAAACAGCATTTTCTGGGTCAGACGGTCATTATTCGTATAAAAGAATGCCAATGGGGCGTACGGACTCGCCGAACTCATTTTTAAGAGCGATGTCACTCGCGTTGGCGGGTCTAGAAGATAATTAAATCGAACTATATTTGGATGATATCATAGTGTTTGCTCTGAACCTCGAAAAGCACGGGAGGCGTTTTATTAGACTTTTAAAGCGGCTTTCGGAAGCAAACTTGACAATCGAGCCGAAAAAATGCCAATTTTTGAAACGCGAAGCGAAAGTAATGGGACACGTAGTAGGAAACGGACAAATAAAAACAGATCCAAAAAAAATTGAAGCAGCGAAAAAATATCCGAGGCCTACAAATGCAAAGAAAATCAAACAATTTCTTGGATTTGTCGGATATTATAGACGATTTATCCAGAATTATGCAAAAATTGTTCAGCCGCTCTCCAAACTCTTGAGAAAAGAAACAGAGTTCAAATGGGAAGAGCAGCAGGAGCAAGCTTTCAAAACATTAGTTGACGCATTATGTAGTGAGCCGGTACTTATTGCACCTAATTTAGACAAGCCTTTTGTAGTCACAACAGATGTGTCAGACTACGCAATAGGAGCAATATTAAGCCAAGGCGAGTTGGGGAAGGATAGACCGTGTGAATATGCTTCACGATGCCTTCAAGGGAGCGAATTACGCTACCCAACGTATTATAAGGAACTGTTGGCTATAGTGTTTTCAAAAGAACAGTTTCGGCCGTACTTATTTGGGCGCAAATTAACAGTGGTCACGGATCATGAGCCATTAAAACATTATCATACGTCAAAGAAGCCCGACATAAGATTTAATAGGCTAAAAGTGGAGCTACGAGGCTACGAATTTGACGTAGTTTATCGGCCAGGCATTTCAAACAAAGCACCCGACGCACTCTCTTGAAATTCAGTAATAGGAGAGGGAGAAATTAACACTGAGCGGCCACGCCAAGAACTGTATTAGCTGGCGGATGAACAGGCGAAAGAAGGACTAGCCGATAGCGATGGGCCTCCAGTGCGCATTTTTAAAATACGAGCGACCCGTAAACAGCGTATTCAGGGAAATACTAAAAAGGGGAAAATTATTTATTTTGATTCAGAGGATTCGGATAAGAAAGTACTGAAAAAAAAACAAAATTTTGATGGGCAGAAAGAAAATAAATATGAAACGAAAATAGATGGTCAAGCTGATGGTGAGGGAGATTTTGAATCCGAGGAAAAAGTAGGAATAAACGAAAAATTAAGCAGGAAAATAAAGAAAACAGTGAGAAAAAAAGGTCGCCCAAGAAAGAATATTATAGTTAGCAATTTAAAAACAGAAACAGATACGGAACGCAACGAGATTCCGTTAAAAGATATTATTGTTGCAAATTGCGAAACACCAGTAATAATGAATAGCGAATCAGAAAATCACAGTACGGGACCCGATGATTGGGGCTGGCGACTGATACAAGCAAGCTTGGCGGCCGAAGAGGCGAGGAGAGTTAAAGGCACCCGAAAGTTAATGGAAGCAAACAAGGTAGCTGGAAGCATCGTAACATTTAGGAAATGTGTTTTGAATTGAAGCGTTGGAGAGAGCTGATCAAGCACGAGAAAGATCAAAGAAAGAAGAGAGTAAAGGAGAGACACCACAGTACGAGCATACAGCAAATGAGTCGCTCACTGACGGTACTTATGAATGTAATAAAAGGGAAAAAAAAAACAATTATATGAGGGACAGAATGGAGATAAGCTCAATATGAAAATAGAAGGCACAGGTTTGGATGCATCAGATGATGAAGTTAAAAAAATGACGAGACCAATCGCAACGGCAAGGGATAATCCTATTTTCCAAGGAATGACGGACGAAAAATGAGGTTATATTATAAAAGAACCGGGGTTTCGAAGGGGAGTAAGAACGATGAGTACACCAGCAGCGGTACTAATCAAGGAAAGAAAACGAAAATTGTGCAAGAGACAACTGGATACATTAAACAGACAAAAGCCAAATTTTTCGATTACGCCAACAATAATGAGTCCTTCGAAGGAAATAATAATAGCTAATTGTGATACGCCACAAACGTCAAATAGTACAATGGCACAAAACACGGAAGAAGAAGAACGTAGGTCAGCGGAGCTCTCAGTGAGCGTGGAAGCAAATTTCGTTCCAACAACAGAGGCAGACAAGGAACCGGATATACACGATTAGTTAGAGGGAAGATCAGACGAACTGCGGGCGCAAGTTATGATCGACGTAAGAAGGCGAGATGTAGAGGGAAGGCCGGGAATGAGGATTGACGTATGGAAGCCCAACGAAAAAATACCTGGGGAAAAAGCACCACCAGAGGAAAGGGAAAAAACAGTTTCAATATTGCGTAAGAATTACAAGCGAGTCCAGTTTAAAGAACCAGGGGATCAAACAGTAAAGGAATCCAACTTACTGTCAGACACAACGGTGCTGATAGATAAGTGGCTGGCATATCTTAACGATAATACACGAAGGGAAACGAATGAATGCATTCAACCATATAAAATACTTTTTAAAGTGCCAGGACTACCGTACGACCCGCCGGGAAATTGCCTATTTTATAGCCTAATTTTTTTTAATAATCTTAATCTCTCGACTGACGAGCTGAGAATAATATTAAAAAATTCAGAATACCTACAAAAGTGTAAAGAGCCAGAAGAAATAGAAAATATACTAATGTCGCGTACAAAATATGAAAATGAGGAATGTATATACATATTTTCGCAAGAATTCAAAAAAAACGTGTGTGTATACCTCAAGTCAAATCGGAAAAATTATATTTATGCGCTTTATATTGCAACGGAGAAATAAGGAGTCGGCCACTTGCATCTGGAAGGTAACAGCAAGAATGCCCATTTCGTGCCCCTAGTACAAAATTCTATTACCGAGTCAAAAAATGATTCTCACAACGATGACAGTAGTAGTTGTAAAAGGTGGGAAGAACACGCGAGTGAGCCAGAAAGAGATGGAGAAACAAATCAACGTGAGTGGGGAAGGGATAAAGAAAGTAAATCAGGAACAGAGCAAAACCCCACCGATGGAGAGACGAACACGAATATGCGTGTAGAAGAAGGGGTAAGAGACAACCATCCCACTAACAGCGATGACGAAAGCTCTGAAAATACGATGGAAGGAGAGGTAGGGCAGGTTAATGAATTGAATAACGCATTATGTGAAACAGAAAGCGAGAACGAAACTAACACAGTCACACACTCTCCATCGATGGAAAAATACACGGTGTACATAACACGCCTGCCAAATGAGAGACTGCCATGGGCACCAAAAGAGGGGAAAGACCCACCCCTGTGCCAAAAACTAAGCAAAATTGAAAACCATCCCTTTAGGTATCTCGAAAACCTGGCGTTTATGACGGTAACAGAAGTAGTACCCAATACGGAAGCAATAGATGCTTTACATGAAAGAGGGTACATAAATCCGACGCGCATGAACAACGAGGAGAAAGTCGTAGGTGAAGCTAAAAGTACTAAAGAGAGAAAGGTAACGGTTACATACATGTACGTATAGAAGCATTTTGAGGAAGCGGCGCTCAAATCGAATATTAAGAAGTGTGTTAAGGCTCTTAGAGACGTAATAATTGCAAACAATATTAAAACAATTGGAATTGTCAGGGATCTAGTGATTCTTAATCTTACCCAATGGGGGTACTTTGCCGATAGTTTCAAGGAAGTATTCAAAGACACTAGATTAGCGGTGGTGCTCTACACCAACACATGGATATTACCACCGACGAGTCAAAGATTAAAAATAATTAAAGAGTACCACGAAGCAGCCATAGGCGGGCACAGGGGTATGAACAAGACATATAGTAGGATCACGAAGGACTACTATTGGAGAAACATGTGCCCAGACATAAGGCAAGTCATTTTGGGATGCCCTTCATGTCAGACGAAAAAACTTGTAAGGGTTAAAACAAAACAAGCGTTGCTCAGTACGGACACACCAAACAGACCTTTTGAAAAAATTTCAATAGACTACCACGGGCCAATCAGTAAGCCATCGACGAATAACTACACACATATTTTGTCCATGCAAGACTGGCTAACAAAGTTTATTGTTCTTGTACCAGTAAAGAGGGCAACAGCTGAGGAGACCATGTGGGCAATAACCGATAAATTTATAGCATAAATCGGACCCTTGGAACATCTACTGTCTGACCGAGGGACCCATTTCATGAATAAAAGCATGGATGAACTAGCGAAATTATTTAAAATAGACAAAATGGGTAGTACGGCATTTCACCCTCAAACAAATGGGGAAAACGAACAAATGCATCATACGCTCACTGAATATATGAAAGCCTACGTAGAGAAAGAAGATCAGTGGGACGAGCACTTACCATTGTGCATGCACTCATACAACACTACGGACCATGAAAGTACAGGGTACTCACCGCATGAGCTTGTTTTCGGGCAAAGAGCGAGAACACCTACTAGCTGTAAGATATCATCTAGTGGCCAGACGTCGAACAAATATCTTAATGAGCTGGTAACGACACTGACGGAGATGAGAACCATCGCCGCAATGATTCAAGTGCAAGCGAAATACCGCTCAAAATATTACTACGACCGCAAATTAAATACGAGATACTACCTCGAGGGAGAAATAATTTATGTGTTAAAAGAGCCGTCGAAAGGGAAATTCCACGCCTAATTTGAGGACCCTTACGAAATAACTGGCATCGATTATGCGAAAAAGAATGTCAAACTTTAGAGGAAGGATGAGGTGACAATATCCCACGTGGATAAAATAAAAAAAGCTTGCGTAGTAAAAGCCCGTTAGAAAATGCGAATACAGAAAAGAAATATGGGAGTACAAAAGTAAACCACTAGCTTCACTTAAATTTTTGCGGCCCCCGGACGCACCGCGAAAATACAATAAAAAATGGAGAACAAGAGAATATTGACTAGTATTTTTTTTAATTGCCTAAGCAAACATAAGAATGAGATGTGGCGCTATTTCATATAATTATAAATAAATAAAAAAAAAGGAAAATGTTTTTTTAGATATTAAGGTAAATGTACCAATACTT